CATTTCCGCAGTTGAGGAATTAATAATTATTTAATTTAAATTAACTCTCTTATATTTGAAAAGGTTGGCTACACGGATTTAAATGCAAATACATATAAAGCTTTTATTGACAGCCACTCCTTCTTAAAAATTTCTCTCCACTCTTTTAAGTTTTACTTTAGACTTCGTTGCAGGGATATAACTTTGTCAAGAATTTTAGAACCTTGAGCACTAATAGGGTTCAGTTCTTTTCTTTGAGGCTGATTTCCGAGTTCCGACTTTTGAGCCATTTCCTATTTCCGACAGTTCCGATTTCCGGCACCTTCGTCATTTCCGATCCACCTCTGCTTCGGAGTTTGTTCCCGAGACATACCCATCAAAATTGTTGTGTTTTGAATGACAAGACGTCCCGGAGACATAGGTAAACACACGGAAAGGTTACTGTGCGTTGAGTGGGCTCGCGACTAGCCTACCTGCTTCTTTTTTCACTTAAACAATAAAACAAATAAATTTTACAATTTTTATTTTAATTTACAATTTTCTTGTCTTTTTTTAAAAGATTATTTCTTTCTTTTTTTTACAATTCTTTAATATTATTTTTTGATGAATTATTTGTTCTCTTTAAATTTTCTTTTTTTTTTCTTCCCATTTTCTTTTTATTTTCTACCAGGTTGCATCATTCTTCTTTCATCTTTTTTTTAGATTTTCGAGAGTAAATATATTTAATATATTTTAGAAAAGAAAAAAAACTGGAAGAAAAAATGAGAGAGAGAGGGAATTTTCGTTCTTCCCTATTCATTTTGAGAGCGGTCTACTGCTACATACACATTTACTATTACTTTAAAGTTATACCAAAAAATTTGAGAAAAAATAATAATAACCTTTCAGACGGTGGTTGTTCATTTTAATATTTCTCGTTTTTGACTTTAGAGAATTGGGGTTTTTAATATTCATTATTAGTCTTATATTCTTCCTATGTCGGTATCCAATCGAAAACTAGAAACCGACACTTGGCTGGACTTATAGTCTGGCTACAAGCTAGGGCTGACCTAAGCATGGACATACATGATGAGAGAGGCGCAGAAATGGTGTTTTTACATTCCTCCAAGTACTTTAGGACCCGGTTCTTAATGCATACTTTAACACAGCAACATAACCTGCAACTTAGAGCCGTTTCAGTGGCACTGAAATAAATGAAAAATTTTCTCTTTTTCTATATCGCTCTATTTTTTTCGCATGCTATTTCTCTAAAGATTTGATGTATAATTTCGAGAAGCTTTATCTCGAAAAAAAACTTTGAGAAAAAAATTTCAACTTAGCCAAATCGTTAAACAAAGTCTTATCTTTGTTTTAAAACCAAATTTATTGATTTTTAATATGTTTAAAAAAAGTTACATATGGTTTTATAAGTAAATTTAGAAAATGAAAAATAAAGGAAAGATTGATTTGAAAAAATTTATTTTAATTTAAAATGACATTAAATGTTAATTAGAAAAGATATTATTAGGATTTCCTTATTATATAATTCATTTTCACTGAAAGGATTCGAACCTTGTGCATTTTTCGCTGTCACTAACCAACTAAACCATACTCCCGCACTGAAAGGCTGGTTGCACCCTCTGCCTGTTTTATGTTGCTGTGTTTAAGGAAAATTAATTCCTGCCCATTATTAATCCTTGAACATTTTTTAATTTTTATAAGAGAAGATATGAAAAGGAGAAAAAATAAAAGAGATACGGATAAACATTTGTGGACGTAGGGGGTATAATTCGATAGTACCTAACCCGGTTCTTAAAGCATATCTCTTGTTTTTTTGATACTTTCATGCATATATGCATATCTAAAGTATAATTTGGGGGTTTGGGCCCCCTCGTAATTTTAATAAAAATAAAATATAATTATTTATAAACCTTCAGAATTTTCCTTTTTATTTTTCAATCCTTCCAGATTTAAATAAACATTTAAAGAATAAAGGGTATCCGAGCTTTTTCTTTCGAAAAAAGAAGCATTAAAAAGTTAATACTAAAAAAGACTATTTCCATTTTTAGCTTATAAAAATAAATAACCATTTTCTTCTAATATTTATTTATTATTTTCTTTGTTTTTAATACACAATCGCTTCGTTAAATCGCTCCGCAGAAAATAAAAAAATAATAATTATTTTTTGTTTATAAAATAAATAAATAATCTATCATTCAAATTTTCTTGTTTTTTTAACTATAATTATTTTATTATCAAATATAAAGTATTTTTTTAAGAATTAGAAAAATGGTCTTGCGATTATTTTAATTTTTTTTATTAAACTTTCTCTTTTTTTCTAAATAATTTTTTAAAAAAAATTATTAATATATATTTGGGTGTAACTTTATAATAAGGGGAATTTGTTCGACCATATCTCAATTTTTTATTGATAAATTGATCTAACATTTAAATATCGTATTTATTCTAATTGAATGGCATTTTTTGGGGTATTGAAAAATGGAATGGCTGCCATTCAAAAACGACGTTACTAATATTCCGATAAAGTAAATTTGTTATTAAGTTATTATTTTCATAATTTTTCCCTAAAATATTGGAGAATCTGCAAAATCTATTCAATTGTTTATCCTAATTAACTACAAATCAGGGGTGTGTAAAATCTTAGATTTTGGAAATAGATTGGGTTTGATAAAATTGGGGGAAAGGAAGTATTTTTAAAAATGGGGGATAAATAGGATTATTTTATAAGAGAATTAAAAAAATAATTTTAATTTTAATATTTTAAATCGTTTTTATTAATTTTAGAATACTTGGAAATTAGTTCTAGATTCTTTTGAAAATTTTTGGCCAATAATAAGATTTTCCTTTCAAAAAATTTAAAAAGGACTAATTTTTTATTTTTTTATTATAATATCAGCAGACTTTACTAAAAATATATTTTAGTCTTCCTTTTTTCTTAAAAATTGGTATATTCCTCGTCCCGTGCTTTTTTGGTCTTTTATTTTTTATTTTTTATTTTTTTTATTTTCTAAAAATAGTCCTTAAAAATAGATTTGTGAATAGATTGGAAGTTTTTTTTAATCTTTTTTGTTAAACTACCCCCTTCTATAGATTTAATATCTTCTTTATCACTCCTCCATTTTATCTCGCTAAAAAAGTTTGTGTCTACACAAGAGAGGGATTGTGTGTACTTGTAGACCAAACTAGGGGGCTTTTACGAGAATCGAGGTGGATATCCCGAAAAACATCGATCTAGATACAAATATCGTAAATGCTCTAATAGAAGCACATGTGCTTGTATTTTTCGATCCTCTTGTAGGGTATGCTTATATTAGGGAGTGTGCTTGTATTTTTCGATAAATTTTCAAATTTGTAGGGAAGTTTTATACTCCAAATAAGACAAACCAGCAATTAAATTTTAATTAAATAATCGCCTTCTTAGCTTAATTTTTATATTAAAAAATATTTTAAGAGTGTGTTTCAATTAGAGCATTTACGGTATTCTACTCTTCCGGGTTCGTGACCCATAAACGTATTTATTAGACTTTAAATTCTGTTGGTTGATCATTTATTATTTTACCTGACAGACTGTCATTATTTTAATTTTTTTATATTTAATTTTCTAATTACCTAAGTAGAGTGTGCTTCTTCATATACCTACCTATACCTTTATTAAATAAATTTCAATCAAAGTCATCCATTTTAGTTTTTTTTATTTCTCCCCACTGACTCTTCACGTGTTTACGCGGAATTACACGTGAAAATAAATTATTTGGAAAAAAAGAATAAAAAGATATATGGAAAGAAAAAGACATTAAAATTTATATAATAAAATACTTATACTTTGTGAGCAAAAAATTTGCGGACATTTTTATTTTTTTATTTTTCTTTTTATCATTTGACTAACTTAAAGGGTATTTCTTTAAGTATTTTTTGTTTTTTGGATAAAAAATATTTATACTATTAGATAAGGCATTTTGATAACAATTTTATATTTTAATTTTTAATTCCGCATCGAATTAAAAAAATTTTCTTTTATTTAAAAATAAAATTTAAAAACGGGTTTAATTAAAAGTTGGTAATTTTCATTCCGCTCAAAAAAACTTTAAATTAAAAATGTCCAATGTCAATTTAGACAATAACCTGGCCAATTACGCGGAATTATAACTCTTATATAAATTTTTGAAATAGAACTGTAGGTAGAATTTGCTATTTTGGAGTTCTAAATTTCATTAGGTGAGATTAGAGGGTGATTGGGAATCCGATTTTCAACTTCCGAAATTTTGGCATTATTTCTAGTTACCGACTCTTCACGTAGTTGTCGCCTTCCAATTTCCAACACTTCCTATCTCCGATAACATTTCCTATCGATCTCTGAATAAGATCCTTGGCTCGAAACTAAACCCTTGAATCTACTCTTAACTCAGTTTTTAAAAATTTTATTTTCACCTTTTTTGCGTAATTTGTCCGCAAGTTTCTCTTTTTTTCGGTGTAATAAAAAAAGAAATTAGGGGGGTAGACGTATGACCATGTCTTGTTATATATTATAACAAAGTTGGAAATATATAAAAAAAATAAAAAAAGGAAAGATTGGCCCATGACGTTTGTTTAAGTGCTTTCCTCCTTTTTTATTCTTCCTTCCTTTAAGCGCGGATGTCTGCGCTGAAGAAACAGGAAAAGAATAAAATTGGGAAGGAAATTGTTGGGGACCTTAAAAATTAAAAAAAAATTTTTTTTTGCGCGAAGGGGGGAACGTGTTTTTGATCATTTTATTGTTCTACTTGGCAGTTTTTATTAGACTTTTTTGATTTTTTCTTTTATTTTCTTTTTTAATTTTTAAACTTGTTTTTTTGTGATAAACATCTCTTTTTGCCTTGAGAAAATGATAAATTTTATTTTTCATTTGATCTTTTTATTTTATTTGTTTTTATGCTTTTTTCTGTCCGCAAATTATATATATCGTACTGTGTTAACTAGAAAATTATCCAGAAGGGATTTGAAGATTAAGAGAGATATAATTTAAATTTATTTACGTGATTAGATTTTTAAAATTTTTGGCGTTTTGGCGTTGTGTTTTTGGCGTTTTATCGTTTGGCGTGTTTTAAAAATTTGAAAAATTGGCGTTTTGTGTTTGGTGCGGAAATTGTTGGGAACCTTAAAATTAAAAAATAAAAAATTATTTTGGCGCACATCCCTGTCCAGAACGGTCGGGAACAGACTTGATCTCAATTTTGTCTTTATTTCGTTTCGCTCTGAATTTTGTTTCGGGTTTGATTCGCTCCGAAATAAATAGAAAATTTTAATATTTCGATTCGAAATTTTTTTGAACACTTACGAGTATGTCTCGTTACGAGAGTTTCATCTTATGGTTACTCAGGTCGAGAATGGGGTTGTCGGTTCTGGACCGAACCGAACCGAAGACCAAGGATTTTTCGGTTCAGTTCTTCGGTTCAGTTTCGGATATCCGATGAATTTCCAGGAACCGACAACCCTACTCGAGAATAATCTCAAAATAAATTATTTTTCTCTATACAAAATATTTATTCTTATTTTATTCTCTTCATTTAATTAATTTATTTATTTTGACTTTTAATTTCTTAAAATAACTCGTCTTCTTCACAAATTAAAAGGAAATACTTTAACGGTTTTTACAACCATTACTAATTGACTGCGCGAAAATTTATAGAAAAAGGAATAGTTGAAGGGGATGGGGATGAGTAGTTGTAGGTCGGGGATACACGTGACAGTTGGAGAGAAAGAAAATAAAAATTTATTTATGTATATTTATTTAGTTTTAAGAAGATAAATTAGGAAGATATTTTTACTAAAAATTAATATTTTTAATTCAACTTATGAAAATAACAGCGGGAGAATCCTAAAATACTGCTCGAATATTTATTTATTAAATACAAAATACATGAGGTTTTTTAAAAATATAGGAGGACTGATTGTTAATCGGCACTTCCCATGTCTGATTTTTTCTGTCAAATTTTCCATGTCTATTTTTTTGTCTGTCCTTAGCCGATTGTCTGTCTGTCTGATTTTTTAAACCCACGTTTTTGATTTTATTTTAGAGGACTTTTTTAATTAACCAAGTTTTCTCAGATTGTTTGTCTTCAGTTTTCAATTTTAATATCTTCATGAAGATAGATTAATTTGTGGTATAAAATACTAAACTTCCCGAAAAATTCTCGTTTTAATTAGAAGGGTCGATTATGTAGTCCGTAACCGATTTTAAAATTTACTATTATTTTAAAGAGTTTATTTAAAAATATTTTAAATCCCGTGTTTATTTAAAATTTCGGGGATAGGTTCCTGGAACAATAGAAACGTAAAAATTTTGAGACGTCAAGAACTCGAAGCAGAACTTTCTGATTTTTTGGAACCGTCATACAATGCCTCTTACTTATTCTAAATTCTTTTCTTTATAATTGAAAGATTTCCAAATTTAGAATAAATTAAATTTAATCAGATTAACAACAATAAATAAAAGAAAATCACACATTTGTCACTAAAATTAAAAAAAAATTTTTGTGTTTATTTAATGTTTGATGGACTAGAATACCCAATTTAGGTGGATATACACTGCTCCACATAACTATAACCTCACCCTAAATTTTCAAATTATTTAACTTCTACCGAATCAATCGGGCTGATTTTTATTTTATATTAATTAAAGCAGGTAACATTTCATATAAACCCGAGAAATCGAAAAAATCTTTGGTCAAAAATTTTTTATTCAATTTTTTCAAAAAACACCCTCCACATAACTATAACCTCACCTTCAGAAATCATATTAGGAATGCTCGAAAAATTCTACAAAAATTCGTGCAAACATTTTCATTGATAATAAGTGGAAAATAAAAAAGAACGAAGTCTGTAAGTGCTTTTTCCATCGAGATCCAAAATCTAAAAAATCAACGGGAAATGGGGGGTACAGTACTTAAAAAATATTTTTACAAGTGTAGACTGTAGATAAAATTTTTTATTATAGTCCATCTGAAAGCCCACAAAATTTGCTACAAAAAACACTTAGTCCTATCATTGAGATTAAATTCGTCCTTCGAGGAGTCTTGGGTTAAATGAGATGGCGAATAAATTCAGCCAAATCACCCCATAAAATGTCATTATTTCGAGTTTATAAATTTAGCCGATTGCTCCCCAGTGATCAAATTTTTCTCAATGATAGGACTAAGTGTTTTTTGTAGTAAATTTTATTGGCTTTCAGATGGACTATAATAAAGAATTTTATCTACAGTCTACACCTGTGAAAATATTTTTTAAGTACTGTACCCCTATTTCCCGTTGATTTTTGAGATTTTGGATCTCGATGAAAAAAGCACTTACAGACTTCGTTCTTTTTTATTTTCCACTTATTATCAATGAAAATGTTTGCGCGAATTTTTGTAGAATTTTTCGAGCATTCCTAATATGATTTCTGAAGGTGAGGTTATAGTTATGTGGAGGGTGTTTTTTGAAAAAATTGAATAAAAAATTTTTGACCAAAGATTTTTTCGATTTCTCGGGTTTATATGAAATGTTACCTGCTTTAATTAATATAAAATAAAATCAGCCCGATTGATTCGGTAGAAGTTAAGAAATTTGAAAATTTAGGGTGAGGTTATAGTTATGTGGAGCAGTGTATTAAAAGAGAGATTGATTGTTTATTATATAGACAACAACTGGTTGGTGTTAGACAAAATTAATGTTTTGTGTGTGAAAAGGGGATTTTTAGCGGACTCCAAAAAATAATAACGGACGTGACTTGCTCAAATTAAATATTATTCCATTTTGTGACTGAAATTTATATTTTTTGGGTGTTAAAAATTAGTACCGTATTTATTCTAATACAATGACATGTCGTTTTAATTTTCAACCCTCTTCTAGGGTGTCGTTTTATTAGAGACTGTCGTTATAAAAGAGAGTCTTTATATTAGAATAATTACGGTATATCAGCTTATTTTTAGTTTCAGTAAGGGAGTGATGATTTTAGAGGGGGATTTTACTGGGAAAAAGCTTTGGAGAGTTTTGCGGATAGATATTTGCGGACAAACAAGTTTCGGGTGTTTTGGATACATAAATGTTAGCCTATTGATTATTGGAATATTTGTCTTTAATTTACATATTTTTAAAAATTTTTTAAAGTATTTTTGGAAAATTTTATAAAATATAATGTAAAAAAGTCCGAAAAAAAAAATCCGCAAATAAAAAATCCGCAAAAAAATAAAAAGTCCGCAAATGTGTAATCTGTAGTTATTATCAAACTCTTATTAAAAAGATAATTGTTTTGCTGAAAATATAAAAAAATAATTTAAATATTCGCTTTGTATATCCAAAGTAATTAAAACCTTTGGATTTGCTAAAAATAGCTCTTTTTTGCACATTTGTAGATTAAAGAATAAAAGTCTGTCACACCCCCTGTCACACCATTTTTAGTTAAAAAACATTCGGTGTTTGGATTTTGAGTTTTGAGCTCTTGAGAGATTTTTGCAATATTTTCTATTTACTTTTTATTAATTTGTTACTCTATACATATATTTACTGTTTACTTCAAATGGTATTTTTTTCTTTTGAGCTATTTTTGTTTTTTCAATAGAAATAAAATTTCTTTTTTTCTCGTTTAGAACAGGGCACAGTGCTTGCGGATAGCGGATTACGTATTGCGGATTGCGGAAATTATTTTCCAATTGCGCCCAGCCCTGGATTAGAAGCCCTAGTTGACTTGCGGATTTTTTTGACTTGCGGATTGCATTTGCGGATTTTAAAATTAAAATTGCGGATTGGGTTGCGGAAATTTTTTTTCCCAATTGCGCGTAGCCCTGGTTTAAAAGCACTAACATATTTTCTAAAAATAATTTTTATAATTTATTTTTAGATAAAATAATTTTTTTCTATTTTAGAATGACATTTTATCCCCAAAATGCACTCTCCCTCCTATCTTTGGTCTCCCTTTAGTCTTTTTAAAAAAAACATTTTTTGGTTATTTTACGTTTCTCGATTTTCCTTTGTTCGCGCTCTTTGATTAATTACTCTCTTTTAAATTATGTATTCTAAAATTTTTTTATTAATTTTTTCTTTCTTTTGTTCGCCTACGCGATTTAAAAAAGTGTCCTTTTATATTTAAATTAGTGAAAAGTTTGGGTAAAAAAGAGTTTAATTAATGAGAGACTAGATGGAGTTTATTTGAAAAGAACTTTTTTTAAATTTCTGCGCGAAAAATCTGTGAATTTCAGATTGATTTTAAGAATAAAAATTCTTTAAGGAGAAAAGACATTTTTATTTTAGAATAATCACTTAAAAATCAAAAAAAAATATTTTTTCGGTACCGTAAATCCTCTAAACCTGTATTATACTCATTCACTGGATAAAAGCATTCGATGGGAGACCATCATGGAAAGGGCCCAAACCGAAGCACTACCGTCACCGTCCAACCCGATGCTGTCTTATTTTTATTCATTTTTTGTATTCTTTCTATGTACAAGTGCGGAGACACAACAAGCTGACTGGGAGGGTTCTCGATAACCGAAATTTTTATTCGAGATCTCATCTCAATCTCTTTTATTTTTTATTTGTTTTTTACTTAAATTCTCTCAACAAATAAACAAAAAAAATTTTTATTTTTAGATTTAAAACTAGCTAGTCATTAAAAATATTATTATTGCCCAACGCTGCCTTGTACAACATAGACGAAGGCCTTTTGGGGCAAAACGGGTCAAAGCTCATAAAAAGTAAAAAAAAAACATATTCACACATTTGACATTACTAAAATATTAAACGAAGTAAACAACAAAAAAGCGCAACAAAAATTATTATTTTTATTAAAAAAATATTTTTTTTAATATTTTATTGACAACTGCCTGATAAATAAAGTGGTGAATTGAGAGAAAAATATAAGAAAAGAATAAATTGGTAAGAGAGAAAAATACATATAATTTAAAGAGAAAATAATTAAAAATAAATGTTTTTATTTTTATTGAAAGAAAATTTAAATTTATTTTTATTTTTCTGATTTTTTAATATAATAAGAATGACGTTTGTGGGTTGGTAAAACGTTTGGGTATTTTTGTAAAAAATACAATTGTTTTTGAAAATGAAATTTTGCACAAATATGTAACTCCAAAACTCTGTATGTAGTAGAGAGCGGCCTGGGTCTGAACCAAAGCCTGGGTTTTCCTGTACCCATAGTCCAGGCCCAGGCATTTTTTGACCAAGAAAATTTATGAGCTTTGACCCCAGGATTCGGCCCAGGTCAATAAATTAAACCCCAGAGTCCAGAAACAAGCCGAGGAACCGAGAATTTTTCTTTTCGATTCTTCGGTTCGGTCCCGGATATCCGAAGATTTTCCGAAGACCATCAAACTGTTCTATGTACAATTTCATTTTCAATTTTTTATGCGCGCGCCCAAACGTCACTACGGTATTAAAGGACTTCAGAGTCCGAATTCTTAAAATAAATTGTAGGAATTATCTCAAAAATAGGGTTGTCGGTTCTGGACCGAACCGAAGAATCGATGATTTTTTGGGTTGGTTCCGCATATCCGAAAATTTTGCAAGAACCGACAACCCTACTCAGAAATATTTTTTAAAGAATTATTCTAGCTCTTTACTGAACCGAGTTGACTTTACAAAACCTTCGCCATAACCCACTGAAGTTCAAGATAGTCTCTACAAAAGTGGCTCAAGTCTACTTTATGAGTCCAATGACCTTTTATTAGCTTTAGGGTTGGGGGCCCGATCTGGCCCAGTCCGAAAGATCGAGTTGGGCATCGAATTTTGGCCCGAAAAGTATTTGTTCGGGCCGGTCCGATAAAAATGACTTGAACGTCGACCCGACTCAAAAACCCCAACCCTAATGAGCTTCATTGGACTCATAAACTAGGCTAGAACCAAAAAAATTTTTCTGAAAAATTTTAAAATTTGTGGCATTATGTAAATATTTTTATTTTTCCTCTTTTTCTAGATATAAACACAATTTTGGACAATAAACAAAAAAATATTTTCAATGGATTTAGCTAAAGAATTTTTAGCTGAAGTATTAAATGAGAGAATTTGTTTGGCATCAAATTTCTCTTCTGGAAATGAAAGGAAAACAACAAATTCTTCCTCTTCTTCTTGTCCAACAACAAATAAACAACAAGAATCAGCAATTATTGAAGCTAATAAATATTTGGAAAATTTAAAGTCTGTGTCTATACATGTGCTGTTGGGACATTCAGAATGTAAAGAAGTTGGGGATAAATTGTGTTCGGCTATGCAAGATACTGAGGTTATTATTGAAATATTAAAAAAATATTTTCTGGATGGAAAAAAGCGAAAAAAATATTTTTTGGGATATTTTGTCATTATGATGGGACATTTCGTCATATACAACGGACCTCATTAAATATCTCCAAAATTAGGGAACTTCAGTTTGGGTAGCAGAGTCGTTTCGAAACAAAAGAAAGTCTTCAAATTTCATAAATATCGAAATCGAAAGAAAAAAAATTCGAAAATCGGAATTTCGAGAAAGCTCTGTTGGAAGGTCGTTGGGTGTGAAAGGACGGCCTAAATGAGATACCCTCCATTTAAAATACACCCCATTGTAAGGCACGATTTTTCAATTACAAAAGGGCATCTTATAATGAGTTGTGACATTATTTGAGGTCCAAAATGTGTTTGGAAATTTGGTCCAAATTTTTTCCAAATTTCCAAAGGTCCAATTAAAAAAAATTAAAAAAATTTTTTTTAAAAGGTTTGGACCTTCAAGCTCCACCATCAACGACCTCCCGATTCAGTTGGTCGTCCTCCAATGCTGCCATTATTTTTAAAACAAGCTCTACGTTCTCAGCTACATTTTTCACCTCTTCGTTCTTGGTTGACAGCTAACACAACTCTTCCTTGTGGCCTTTTCCCCGTTGTTCGGTAATTTAATAATTAATAATTTGTCGTTTATGATTAGTTCTTCTGTGGTTGATTGGTAGTGTTTTTGACTCTAATGGGTTTGCTCTAGGGTTCGATGCCCCTTGGTGCCCAACATTTTTATTTCAACAATTTTAACTTCTAAAAATTATTTTTTGGTCTAAAAAATTTTTTTATTGGCGTTTTCTATTTTTTAAACTCTAAAAAAATTATTCCTTTATTAAATAAAATAATTTCTTTTTTTATTAAAGTGTTTTGGCCAGTGATCACCTACTTTCAAATCCAATTTCTTCTCAAGTCCAATCTCACAAATTTCCTGCTTGTTGTTGTTCTACTACTCCAAATGGAGGGGGAATATGGCTAGAACTTTGTGTTCAGTGGTTGAAACGAGAATATTTTCTTTCAAAAGCGCCAATTTTGTGTCCTTCTATTGAGTGAATTTTAAGAGAAAAATTTTAAAAAATTTTCAAAAATTTTAAGAATGGATTGTAACGATTCTTGGGTTCTTCCACCTTTGTCTGACACAAATAATGGGCTCAACCAAGAACAAAATCAGCGTCCAAGTTCTTCGCTAAGTTCATCATTGTGTAGTAGCAGTAGTGACTCTGATGAAGATATTCAAGAGGAAGATGAGAGTGAATTGTCTTCATCCTCTTCTTCTTCGTCTTCTCCAATACCTACACATTCTCAAAGCAATATTAATGAACAAATATCTCATCAAAAGTAAAAAAAATTTTTTTGAAAATAAAATTTTTAAAAATTTTTTAGGCAAGACAGCACTGAAAGTAACAACAACAACAATTGTAGTAATAATATAAATAATAATATTTCTTCATTGTCTCGTCGCAACTCTCAAAATGTGAGTTTTAGAGCATTTTAAAGCTTTTTTGAGCTGGAGAATTTCTTTAAGAGAGTAATAAATTGCCCTTTGGCGAAATGCCGAAATTAAGCCTTAATCAGATTATCTCAAGCAAAATTCTATCAAAAATTTGATTTTTATGGGTTAAAGCTTTGGTCTGGTTCGGTTTGTATCGCCTGTGATTGTTTGACATAGCTTTTTACTAGAGCGCGGAATTTCGTTCCGTACCGTATTCCGTACCGTACTACCGATACGGAATACCGATAAATACCGAAAAATACGGCCGTAGTGCGGTACGTTCCGCGCTCTACTTTTTACATAGTTTTTTTTAAATATTTTCAGATTTCCTCGGTAGATAAATGTTGCTAAGTATCACTTTAAGCCCCATATGTAGTAACTTTTGTGAAAGATAGAATTATAGAAATCTAACGGATATCATCAACACATTAGAAGATAGATTCAGTTATTCCTAATCACTAAATCACTTGAAAGAGTTTTAGTTTAATTTCTCTCGTTTAAATTTTAGATCCAATCTAGTCTTCAATTTGTAAATGAAAGCCAAAATAGACGAGAGCGTTCCCAACGAAGATTACGTCCTTCTAGACCTATCCAATCATCTACTAATTCAACAACAACAACAATTCAATTACCTTCATTACCACCAAAACATTCTCAATTACTTCAACAATATCATCACCACCACCATCATCAATCTATTCAACGGAGTAGACGACTTGTTATGCAGCGGGCGAGGAAAGCAGCGACGAAAAAAATTAATGATGGACCTTCAATAAAAGAAAATAATTCAGACAATAAACAAAATCAAAAAGAGGATAAAATGGAAGAGGATAAAGCGGAAAAAGTAAAAATTGAAAATAAAAAAGAAATTGAGGAGGAAAATAATAAAAATGTTGGAGGGATTGAGAAAATGGTAATTTTTTGGGAAAAATTATCGTTGAAATTTTTGATGATATTTAACTCCTAGAATTTTTAAGGAGATGATAAGAGAGTGATTCAAACGAGGTAATCCCCGTTGGGCTTTTCCATGTCTTTAAAAGTGTAGTTCAAATTTAGTTTCAAAAACCGGTCACTTGGTATTGATTTTTAACCAAATATCGTTTTATTTTGGTCAGAATTTTAATTTGATCATCATTTTTCTTAATTTTTGGGTCTGAATTTTTGTAAAAATTTGTTAGAGTTTACCAAGTTATTTACGGTTTCAAAGCCAGTCCTAAACAAGTCTTAAATTTCGTTGGATTTTGGCATATTCTTTGGGTAAAGTAATCATAAAAATCAAATGCGCTAGGAAACTAAAGGAATTTTTTTGATTTCAAGTTAACCAGGGCTTCGATATTTTCGGATTTTTGAAATAAATGCGGATTTTTCAGCTTAAACTTCCGAATTTTTAAAATTTCGAAATCGAAGCCCTGAGTTAAACACATACCGATTTACTCGGTTAATTCCCCCTGCTACGGATGAGTCCCCCTCCCCCAAATACCCTACTACACGTTCAAATTTCAAAACTCGAATAATTCCCCTCCCTTGAATAATTCCCCATGCCACATGTGGGTTGAAAAAATAATTCCCCAGGGGAATTAATCAAATACCGTATGTACATCGGAACAAAAAGTTATTCTTTACCAAAAATTTTTTTAAGGAATATTCTTCTCCACAACGTCTACAACAACAACCATCTTCTCAATGTTCAACACCTCCTCCAGCTTTCCAACAACATTTATTGTTACGTGGGGTAAACATAACCCCACCGCCATCTCGAATGTTATTCCAACAACGTCAACATTCCTCTTTATCAGCACTTCACAACAACAACAATAATAAAAATCCAAACAATTCATTTCGTCGTTCTTGTTCAGCTAGATTAGTTTGTAATTTTGAGGAAAGTATTTTGAGTGGTCGACTTACTCCGAGCAGTATTGTTGATGGGTAAGGAAGGATATTGAAAAAACAAGATTAATATATTCTGAGTAGAAGCCCGATGCTAATTGGGGATGGGTTGGGTTGAGAACAAAGTCTAGAAAAATGAAAATTTAAATCAAGGATGGGTCAGGTTACCCGATATACTCGAAATCCCAAACCTTTTTCCGACCCAAAATCCGGCCCGACTTTTTCTACCCCAATCCCTCTTCGAATAAAATTTCGGAAATCTCAACTGAAACCCGATTCGACTTTTTCCCAACCTGACCAATCCCTGGTTAGAATCAGGACTTCCAATCAGAGTTGTTTCGACTTTAGATTTCAAAAAAAAATTTTTTAATTTAAATTTCCCTTCTTTCCAAGTTATTCACTTCAATTAATGGTTGTTCCAACCCAGTCAATGGTAATGGCACCCGGTGGCGGTTTCTTCTCTGTCCAACGAGTTAAATACCCAGTTCAAACATTCTTTTTCTTCAACGAAATGGGTGGTTCTTCACTAAATGAGATCTCAACAAGAACTCCAGCTTTATTACATTTGGTAGATTAGAAAATAATTGTTTTTGAATATTTAAAAAAAATTTTTAAGGCCCGTTGTGAACTCGATTCAGATGGTATTCCTATCCCTCGGCATTGCAATCTTCAAGCGGTAAAAACTTTTTTAATTTAAAAAATAAAATAAAATTTTCATTTATTTTTATGAAATTATAATTTTACAAATCTCTTTCTAAATACGTTCAAACTAGAGAGGGGTCTGGATCTGCGACCAAGGCCTGGGTTTTTCCTGCACCCAGAGTCAAGGCTTAGGCATTTTTTGACCTTCCTGGGGTTTTCCTGGGTCTAGGTTTTTCTTGGACTAAGGCTCAGGATCCTACCCAGGTCAATAATTCAAACAAAGTTCTGACCAAATTATTTTAAACAAGATTCGGATGAAGCTCCGATTTTTATAAATCAAAGCTTCCCCTTCAAAAGCTTCCCAGTTTTTATTCTCTACCTTATTTTTATTTTAATTAAGTTTTTAAATTTTATTTTTTGCCTATTACATAATTTATTTTTAAATTATTCCCATCAAAACATTTTTGAAAATATTTTTTCCATATATTATTTTATGCAAAACTTCCCCTAAAAACAATTTTCATATTTAATTTTGACATATTCTCACAATTTTGATTTTAATTTTTAATTACACCCTTTAAATATCATCTTTGAAAATTCAGCCAGTGGTCCGTTAATGGATCAGTTTTACCGTTACCCAACCTACCGAGCCCAAAAATTTTTATTTTTTTTTGTTTAATGAAGGAACAAAATAAAAAATTATAAAATTATTCAAAAATCCTGGTTCTGGATTTATGTCAGTAAACTGGACAGGATTCTTGATCTTGATCCAGGAAAAATCCAGATTGGATCCAGATCCAGACCGATCTCTACTATGTATTTTAATAAAAAAAATATAAATTATAATTATATTTAAATTTATTTTTCCCCTTTTTCAGGTGCTTTTTAATCCTCAGGGCTCAGTAATTAAAATTTTTATGGTAGAAGTTGATGTTAGAGATATGCCTCCTTGTTCAACAACATTTATTCGGCAAAGAACTTTTTGTGAAACAAAAACGGGTATTAACAATAATTACTTTCCTTCTTCCTCTACTTCTTCCTCTTCCTCTTCATCTACTTCAAATCAAACTGCCAACAAAAATTTAAATATAAAAAACACTACGGGTTTAATGACTTCAATGATGTCTTCTTTAACAATGCCAAATACTACAATAAACAATAGAATGCCATCAACAGCCAGTGCTTTACGTTTTTTGATACATTTGAGGTAGAAAAAAATGGATTTTTTAAGTGGGAAAAATTTCTTCCTAAATATCGAATAAAGGTTTAGGATTTAGAAACTCGACAGGAAGTGGTTCTACGAGCATCGAGATAGGTGTCTCGAGAATTATCGATCTCTCTCTTGGGGCCGTATTAAAAAAGCGGAGTAGAAGAACCTGGTAAATTTACCAGGTCTCTCACTTGGGTAATATGTGGAACACCGAGTTGAAGGGTAACTTTTATTCCGAAAAAATCTACCCAGAACTTGATGATTACCCGCAGTTGCGAATTCAGTTACCTCGATTAACAACCCAAAACTCGGTGTAAGCGCTACACGCTTTTTGGATTAAGGGTTCTGGATTAATTTACCAGCAGCTTAGGGTTAGTTAACTCATACTCCGATTTTAGAATACCACTTCTGATGTCTATCGAAAATCTGATTTCAGCCATTTCCAATTTCCCAACCTCGCTCTTCCCTATCTATAGTTATCCTGTTCCAAAAACATCGAGTACTTCAAAATCCGGTTAATCTTTCTTTGAACCGCGGACCCTTTAACTTAGTTACTCCTATTAATTTAAAGAAAATATTTTTACAGATAAATTTAAAAAAATTATTTTTCAGATTGGCCTCAAACGAAACGGGTTGTATTCGTCTACATACCGATATTCGAATGCTTTTTTCTAATAAATCAACAGAACTTGAAGGTCTTGATCGCCGTCTTTTATTAGCTGTGGCTGACAATAACAACAACAATAATTCTAATAGAAACCGTTTGTCTTTACCTCCAGGTATTTTAGAGGGAACGATAAATGGTGAGGGAAGTAATAGAATGCATACAATTGCTGAAATGCCTGTTGGACCTAAATATTCGCCTGTTAAATAAAAATTAAATGAGGAGGAATTTAAATAAAATGTGATTTTTAAATAATTGGCTAAAAAATTTAAAAAATTAAAGAAGAAAAAATAGTCACAAAATTGTACAACGGTGACTGTGTGTGCAAATTATATTAATTAAGAAATGTATGTGTATATTAATTACATTAAATTTCGGAATTTATTTACTATTTTAGTTGTAATATATATTTTTGTTTGGAGTGAGGAAAAGATTTTTTTGGGGTAAGTGGGTGGATTGAATAAAGGAATATCTGATAAACTTTCGGGCTGTCATTTTAGACCCCTAGGAAATTTTTCAAAAAAATCTTTTATCTGTTAGTTGAAATTGCGGACTTTTGAACGTAAAAATCCATAGTTTATTATTCTATTGTCGTATATTGGCAAATGTTTACACAATAAAATTTAAATTTCGACGGAAACCTTTGGACTTTCCGAAAACTTTGGACTGATATAAAGGATATAAAGAGCTCCATTATAGCACTCACCTCGTTTATTGTTCTATTGTCGTATATTTAATGGAACTTTAGTTTATAAAAATTATAGCTCTTTAGGTATGGCTTAACAGGTTAAATCGAACTTAATCCAAAACGAAAAAATACCAAAAATAATGAGAACAAAAAAGAGTACACAATAAAATTTAAATCGTCATCGAGAACCTTTGGGATGCCCCTTTAGATTTTTAATTTTCACTACTTAGTTTCTCGTGGAAGCCTTTGTAAATTAAAAATTTTCTGAAAGTCCTTAAAAATTAATTTCAAAATTTCTTCACTCAAATAAAAAATATATTTTATTAATTTTGACATTTATTTTGTTTTAGCTATTTAACTAAATATTTTACTATGTAAAATGCCTTTTTAAAATTTGGGAAATTTTTAAAAATTTTTGATTACAATGAGAATTCTAATAAAAATTTCAAAAAATATCCCATTTTTTATGTATATTTAAATAATGTACATACCTATTTATGTACAATTTTCAAGATTAACTTGAAATTTTAATTTGATAAATAATTGAATAAAAATGATTTTTGTAATACATATTAATTAATTAGAAATAAGGCCGGGAAAAAGTTTTCTTTTAATCCTTGTTTTTAAAGAAAAAAATAGCCTCGCTGCAGAATTTTTTTAGTTGATTAAAGGTTGGGTTACTTTGTATTTATAAATCTCATTCAACCAGAGGCGGGCACATCTCCTAAAACACAACGCAAAACGAAATGCGAATGTCCCTGATGTAGACGTGATTAACGAAAAATGAAAGAGAATTTTCATTAATTCGGTTTCCTGATTAAAAATAGGAAAATCTTTCTGTAATTTTCTATAATGTTTCTCCAAAAATAATTTTAGATTTCGTCAATCTTCCATAAAAGTTTGGGTGATGTGAAGTAGTAAATTATTAGTATATATTTCATTGTTTTCAGCTTGGCTAATAGTTAAAACTAGCTAGCTAATTAAGTTTTAAGGTCTTATTAAGAGCTCAAATGTAGAACACTCGTACGTATTCAGAAAGAAAGCGATTTGAAATAACTGTCAAGAGGTTGCAGGATGCCGAGACTAAACCTTTTCCTCTCTCTGACTGTTGTTTATTTTAAATATTAAATTTAAATTTTTTTTAAATTCAAAAAATTGAAAATTAATTTTTATATTTATATTAAAAAAATAATATTTTTGTCTTATCAAAAAATATTTTTTCTTACATTTTATTAAATATTATCATTTTCTTCATTAAATTAAAATAAAAAGCTTAATTTTCAGCAGAAAATCGTATTTTTTTATTTCTCTTTTTCGATTGCCAAAATTTTTTTGATCTTCAATCTTTTTTTAAATTTGATAAAATGTATTGTTACATACACATTCCATAAAAAACTTGTGATAAATTTTTGAAGAGTAGAAAAAATATGGAAAAAAGATGTAATCGGTTTATATATTTTTAATACTTATTTTAATATTTATTTTATTGTTTTAATAATCATACAATTTTTTAAACGTCTTTTGAATGAGTTCATTTTCAAACGTCATTCAAGCTATATTCTAAAAATCATGAAAATTTTAGAATACATAAATTCTGACCTTATTATTTGATTTTACCGGAAGTTCCGGTTCCGGAAAGTTACACCGTTTTTTGTTTCCGGTCCTGGTCAAAATTTTGGTTCCGATGAAAATGTGTCCATAATCAAGTAAAGCAGCTGGGCAAGTAAATCAGCTATTTCCCTCCTTCAGCTAGTGCAAAAGGTTATTCGGCGGCTGGGAGCTTACCAGCATCTTCAGTAAACCGGACTGATGTGTTATTCAATTACACCACGCCGCCTACTGCATAGCCTTAGGAAGGCTAAAAGCTGGTTCCCTTGTTTGACACTTCTTTACAAGGAAGGATGTCATGGTAGAGAAAGTCTGGTAGAATTTCGGATCGGTTTTTAAAATTCGGATTTCAGATTTAGATTTCGAATAATCCGTGACATCCTTCCTGAACCTCAATTAACGTCAGTTATTTTTCTACAAATTTGGTCCCTAAGTTTGGCACTTACTTTTACGTCCTCACTTTAATCTCTTTCTTTTTTCTGTTGGAAGTATTGAGACGTCAGTCTTTTTGTTTAAAAAATTTAATTATTAAATAAATTAAAAAAAAACTTATCTTTTCTGGATCACATTAAAATCACAATACAGAAACAAAAAAAATAAATTTAAAGCAAACTAATCAAATAATTTATAAGATAAGAAATTTTTTTTTGTTTAAAGATTAAAATTGTGTACCTAATTGATAATTTGGTAAAGAAAAAATTAATTTAAAAAGAAGTAAATATAAATATTTATTTTTATTTATTTATTAGAAATTATTTTTTATTTGTGTTCATTTTTATTTTTTCATTTTATAGAAATTTTTAATTTTTATCAGAATGCATGATATAATTAATACCGTAAGTTAAAATAATTTTTTTGGAGATTTTTTAAATTTTAATTATACTATAAGGGTTGGGGTCTGGGCTGAGGCAAGGCTGGGGGTCAACAGCATGGGCAACTGAGTGGCAGCCAGCTTTGAAAAATCCCAAAAAACCAACCACCTCGACTATAACCTTTTTATTGTTGATCCAATCTGAATGAACTTATAAAATTCGATTTTCCAGCCGGATGAATCACATCTGATCACCCATTAAAAAGCATAACTCAAATTGTATTAAGGATAGAAAAGCTATAGTTAATCAAAGCTGGCTGATACTCGGCTTCCGAAAGGACCATTCTCCCTCTCTTATATTTAGTAAATTTTCTCCTATACATTGATAATCATAATTTTCGTTATTTAGTTTAAGATAGTCCTCAAAGTTGTAGTTTAGGAAAGTAAATGGCATTAACAAAAAATAAAATATTCTAATTAAATCCCTCATATTCTATTTTCCACTAGCTTTCTTTGAATATGGGCTTCTATTAGAGAGGGGGTATTTAATAATTATTTAATAAATTATCCTTTAAAGGATGATGTTCCAATAACTCCTTCACGACTTGCTGAATTAATTCGACATTTTTATTCGTTAGGGTGGATGCGTGATAATGGAGGTTAACTTCAAAAATAATTAAATAAAAATTAAAATTATTTAAAGGTGGAATGGCTGTTGCCTGTGGAGATGTTATTTATAGTTCACCAACATCTGTGCAGAAGGAAAAACTTTCAGAGTTTTTTAAATAAAAATTAAAAAAATTATTTTTAATTAACAGGAAAGAATTATTTATAATAGCCCAAACTGACGGAAAAATTTTGAAACGACCTGCAAATCCAGCTTCAGTACCTTCAGCAACGGCTGGATTGCTTTACAAAACTGGATCTAAATGTGTTGTAAGTTTGTTTAGAAAACGGTGGGGTACTATTGAGTACCGCCGATTGAGTACCGCCGTTTGAGTACCGCCGGTTGAGTACCGCCGGTTGAGTCCCTGGCCGTTTGAGTACCGCCGATTGAGTACCGCCGGTTGAGTCCCCACCCATGTGGGGACGTTTGAGTCCCCGTATTTCATTCTAGGATTTACACATTTATGATTACCAGTACGGGTCTATTGCGGATATGCTACTACTTTGGGGTACATTATATACGAATATAACGAGGGACTATAGATTATATCCCCCAACGTGGGATATAATTATTACCCGAAAATAAAGGCACCAACTATACATGTGTATGATTCCCATAATGGAAGTATTACGGGTATGTTACCAATTTGGAGGTGATACCCGGTATTTTGATAGGTACCTATAATCCCTCATTATATTCATATATAATATACCCCATAGTAGTACCATACCCGCAATAATTCAGTCCTGGGAATCATACATACTTGTATGCAAACCTTAAAATCAGTCTATATATCCCCTTTAATCACTCCAGATCGCTCAAAATCACTCCATATTTATCATTATCACCTATAATCTCACCAATATCACTCCAGATATCCCACGTAATCCCTTTAAATGCCAAAAACAAGTCGGGGACTCATACGTCCCCATATGGGTGGGGACTCAACCGGCGGTACTCAATCGGCGGTACTCAAACGGCCAGGGACTCAAACGGCGGTACTCAACCGGCGGTACTCAAACGGCGGTACTCAATCGGCGGTACTCAATAGTCTCGTTCCCTTTAGAAAATGATACATGAATAAATAAATATTATAATTAGGTATAGGGTTGTCTAGATTTTCTAAACCTATTTAATTTGGCTGTATTGACTAAATGTTTTTTAATATTTTGACTGGTTTTGAAGTTTTTCCGGAACTTATCATATTTATTAGAGACCAAACGATTCAATTTTTACATATATCTGATCGGAAAATACCTATTAACTAGGATTCTTCACTACCGGTTATTAATCGGTCGGTACCCTCGGTTTTCGGTTATCGCCGGTTTTTGATCGGTTTCTTAATTGGTTTTGATCGGTTGGTTTCTCTTAATTCCTCAAAAGCACTGGTTTCGGTTCGGTTAACCGGCCTTGAACAACCCTACTATTAACCCTTATTCAGCCACAAAATTATTTTTCTTAATTTATCAAATTTCTAATTAAAATTCAAATCCCAATTTTATTTTCTCTTTTCTATCAAGATACACACACATTCAAAATATGCAAATTTGCTAACACAATTAATTAGAGGAGATCATTTTGCTATTAACAATCAAGAAATGATTCAAGGAGTAGAAAATCGTAAAACTGGACGTCGACTTGATAATATTGACAGAGTTTTTGTTCCAATAATTGATTCGGAATTAAATGAATTATTGTTAAGTGTAAGAGAATTTAATAGAAAATATTTTTTTTAATTTAAATTATTTTAAAATAGCCAATTCTTTTGCGAACCTTGGAAAAATATCCAGAGGTAAAAAATATTTTTTAAAGAGTTAGACAGACAAACCGAATTACCCACAGACAAACCGAATTAAAAATTATAGTACATAAAATTGAGGTTGTTTACTTAAGTTTGTGTGTACATAAAATCGGGGTTAGGTAGAATAAAGTAGACTTGGTAGTAAAGTTTTTACACCTGATATCCTTAGATTTTCGAAGAATTTCAGCTCTTAGGACTGAAAAAGCATACGGAAATCCTAAATGGTTGGATATCGGTCTGGATATCCGGGGATTTGTCAGGATCCACCAACCCTAGTTGGTAGATACAGGCTTTTACTGTTCTTATTTCTAAATAGGACTAATCCTGAAAGTTGGCAAGTCTTCAGGTAAAATTAGAGGCAATTGTTCTTCCCTCTGATAAGGATTAATAATATCCTGTTATCACTATAACTATCTAATTATTTTAAATCAAAGTTAAATAATTTATAAAGGCCTCAGCTATACTAGTCCGTGGACATGGCTTTTTTGCATTTGGTTCTCATTCATGGCAAAGCACAAAATTAATGTAAGAAAAAAATTTTTTTTAATTAAAATTTTTATTTTTTAAATTAAAAAGGTTGGAATGTTATGAATATTTATTTGAATTAGCTTGTGATATGATTAAATACAAATTGCCTTTAATTAAACCAATAACTAATGGAACACAACAAATGAGAGCTGTCTAGAATTAATGAAGGAAAAATTAACAGTGATTGGAAGGAAGCTCTCTCAAAATTTTAAACAAAATTTATAAATATAGTCAAAATATTATACAGTCGAATCTCATTTTTGAATACACCAAGGCTGAAAAATTTCAGCTTATAATGAGGTGTATTTTATGTAATTTAAAGGGAGTTCCCTACCAGGAAAGCTCCCCTGACCTATAGTAAATCAGGTCTTAAATTGCATACTTCATTTCGGAAAAGGGGGAATGGTGCAGAATTGGAGAGACGCCTTAAAAACACCTTCAAATTATTGTTTTTTCTAAGCTGATTTTGAGGGTGTTTTTAACGTGTCTCCCCAATTCTGCACCATTACCGGAGAGAGGCAAAACAATGCCAAGTCACGATACGCCTCCTAATTATCTAAAAATGAGTTTCGGCTAATTAATTTTTACATTTTTACCATAAACTTCTAAAATTAACACAAATGTACATCTTCTAATCCGTCCATTCTATTTTACAAACACAAATAAATATACGAATAAAAATTCAATTAATACACACAAAAAATATTTTTATTTATTTTCCTTAAATCACAAATAATTCTCTTCTCTCATTTCTTCATTTACTGCTTAGCCTGAGGTTCTTTGAATTCCTTTGGTTTGAACAGAGCAAAGGAAACTTCCAAATCCGGACTAATTTTAGCAACAGCACCCCAATTGTTAGTTTCTGGATTATATCGAACTGCTGAGAATACAGTGATTAGTTGGTTGTTTGCAAAGGTTGAATATCCATATTGAGCAGCCTAAAAAGGAACAAAAATATTTATTTTAGAAGAAATTTGATTAGGGAGCTGAAAGTTAAGATTTGCGTTTTTGGCGCACACTTGAGAAATGCATAAGGGTAACTGAGCGCAATTTGAGAACGCCAAAAGAAATTAAGCCTTAAAAAATTTAATTTTTTCACCTGATGCGCCCGCATAATCATATGAACGCCAAGAGTTTTGCACATTTGCCTAACTGCATCAGGGCCGAACATAACAGAACAATTTCTGTAGGGATTGGGTTCCCAATCTGGCGGTTTAGGTTTCTCTGTATTTGGATCTGCCCAAAGCAAATCCTGAACTAATCCGGGCGAGATAACCATAGCAATTGGCCGCTTCATTGATCGAATGTCGTTCAGTGATTTTAGATGAGGGGAGATGCCTCCTGAAATTTTTTGAAAAATTTTTTAAATTTTGATGCTATTGAAAGGACACTCCCCCCACTTAAGAGCAGATCTCTCTAAAAAAGAATCCCCTCAAAAAGTGAAAGGACGAGTATCCCTCCCAGCCATTTTTAAGTACCATGCATGCACAGGATTTTCCCTCCAATCAGAGCAGCCAAAGGCAAATAGGCAAAAGCATCGTTAAAGTCATTCCACAGCTGTTCAGCCTGTTCCGCTCCAAAACGACGTACCAACTCATCATAGAAGCCATAAACTCTAAAAATAAAGATTATTTGATTAAAAAATAATCTTCTAAATTTTTACTTGTTGATATGATGCAATTCGTGATTCCCACGTAGCAGAAAAATGTGCTTGGGATACTGAATTTTACAAGCGAGCAGCAGGCAAATGATCTTTAAAAAATAAAAATTTTAAAAGAAAACAACGACCAATCAACACACCTCCAACGAATTTCCACCCCTATCAACAAAGTCGCCAAGAAACAAATAACGCGTTCGATGTGGAGGTCCACAAGAATGAAAAATCCTCAAGAGATCTGTGTATTGCCCGTGCAAATCGCCACAAACATGGATTGGCCCTGTTGTTTCAATTAGCGTCGGCTGTTGTTGAAGAGAATCAACTGCACGATCGACGAGCTGCTGGAGTTGCCCAAATTTGTATCGATATCCTTTGCGACCTCGGACTAGATGGCGGCGGATAAATTCGCAGAGGTCAATCTGAAAAAAGAAAAAAATTTGGAAAAAAATATTTTGGACAGTTTTTTAAACATACTCGATTGAAGACTGCCGAACTTGCAGATTTGCTCATTGTAGTATTCCTTGATCTTGTCTCACCTAAAAATTGATAGCCATTTTTGAGAACAAAATTTGAAAAATTCTCACTTGGGTTGATGCCAGCAGTAGCTCCCTCGCGGTTGGACATCATTGAAGGTGGGGGCTGAAAAACAAAGATTTTTAAAAGAAAGTCAAGACTAACAAGATTATCTTACCCTTAAACTGAGGTTGCTAAAAGAGCCTCCCTTCCCTTCACTTTCACTAGACGCTGTATGGGCTTCTTGTGACTCCTGTCGTTTTGCCATTGCTGCTGGAGAAAGCATTAACGAGTCAGGAATCTCCATCTCTGGAAGTTTTGGCCGTTCTGGAAGAGCTGCTGCTGCTGGTCCTAACGGAGTTGGAGGTGCTTTGGAGCCGGCTTCTTCTTTTGCTGTTGATTTTATGTAGTCTGAGCCTGTTGGCAGGACGACTTTTGGCGCAGCTGACAGATTTGGATCGCCATCATAGCAGGACATAGCTTACTGATTGGAATGAACACAACAATGCTGGGCAAGGTCAGTCTTTGAAGCGAGTGAGCAAAGGAGTGTTGATAAATAATTATCATTATGCCGGCTTAAATACTAGAATTTTGACAAAGAGGAAATAGAAATTAAAACCCGATCCTTTCCCAAGTTATTGCAGATGGTTTTCTATTCCGATAATTCTTGTGGATGTGAGTAGAGGTCAGCAAAATCGTATTTACGGGATCCCGTAACGAGATTCTTTTCAAAATCTTTTACGGGACAGGATCCCGCTAGATTAATCCCGTAAATCCCGCTAATGGAGCGGACAGGATCCCGTACGGAATCCTATCCCGTGCCGACATAAATATTTGAATAAAGCTTGTGCTGCAAAATGAAATGTTGGCGTTTTGTTTATTCAATTTTTGGCATTATGTCCATAATTCTGAATTTTCAATCTAATTTTTTTACTTGATAGAAAATAAAAATTCTTTTTAAATGTCAACCAAACAAAAAACAAAGCAAAGAGATTTATCTTCGGATAGTTCAAAGTCTGGAAGTTCAAAAAATGATTCGAGTGTTGGAGATGTGAAGGATACGTCTCCAGCAAGCGACAAAGTTTTTAATAAATATGGAATGGCTGCTGAAATTGTTAATACTGTTTTGAAGGTTTTTTAAGTTAAAATAATTATATTTTGGGTATTACTGAAGAATGGGAGAGAAGAAGGGTAGGGATACTTACTCCGTTTTCGAGTCGGGCCGACTATCGAGGCGGTTTTTTGGGCTTGTTTTTATCGATTTGGACTGTACGAGTCTTTTTCGGGCCAAATATTTTAGGCCCGACTCGACCTTTCGGCCATTTTGACAACCCTAGGGGTGGGAAGGGGTTTTCCTTCGGATTTTTTACGGATTCCTCTAATGTTTCTTCCATCTTGCTTTAGCTAATCCGCAAAAAAGTTAGCAGAAAATTCTCCACTTTTCAGTTCAATTTTAAAAAAATATTTTTTAAAGGAAATACTTGCCGAATTAAAAGTTGATGCAGAAGTTGGTCAACTTTGTTCTCGTGGTGATGCTCGTATATTGGAATTAACTTCAAATCTCTTCAAGAGAGAGAAGAATGTTCAGAAAGGGATTGGTATGTTTCTCAATCAGTAATTTTTCTACTCACATCCTTTTGGATTTTTTTTATTTTACTTTTTTGCTTTAAAAATTTTATGGAAAGGGTTGGTCTGTGATTTTTTTGATTTTGGGTTCCATTTATGATTTTATTTGATCTGCAGCTTTATAAGATCACACAGATTCTGGTTTGCAAAAACTGGTTCCATCGGCTAGAAATAAAATGAACTTGACAGACCCCATTTTTTCCTCCCCAAGTTTTTTCTTATTTATTTGTAGAATGGTCAGACATCTTCCCTTCTGTCCTAATTTTCCTTCCATCAAGGGGAAATACAAAATTAATTCCTTTTGATTGTTTATAGGCAAAATTAGAAAGGCAATTGGAATGGAAGAAAAGAAAAAGTCTGACCATTCTGTAGATATATAGGAAAAAGTTGAGGAGGAAAAAATGGAGTCTGTCAGGTTCTATATTACCGGCCTTTGTTTCAATTTTATTCCTACCAGATAATTTTCAATTTAGCAATGCCAACATGTATTTCTATTGATAATTGTGTTTGTCATTTTTCTCCTCTTCGAAGCGAACCTCCAGTTCTTCTTAAAGAAGGCCAAGTAGTAAAAGTTGATTTGGGTGCTCATGTTGATGGTTATATTGCAACAGCAGCCCATACAGTTGTTATTGGTGCTAATAGGGTTTTTTTAAATTTTTAGTTTTTAAATCAAAAAAAATATTTAAGGACAACAAAGTAACAGGCAAAAAAGCCAATGTAATTGTTTCTGCTTATAATGTAATGGAAATGGTTTTGAGAATGTTGAAACCTGAAAAGAATTTTAAAAATGTAGAAATATCTGAGAAGATGGGAAAATTGGCTAAAATTTATGAGACGGTTTTTTTTAATTTTTAGGAGATTTTTAAAATTAAAATTAGACACCAATTGAGAATATGCTCTCTCATAATATTGAGCGATTCAAACCTGTTGGTGATAAACAAATTATACAAAATCCTGGTGATGAGCAGAAGTCTAAATCGGAGAAGTGCACATTTGAGACTTTTGAAGTTTATACAATTGACGTACTTATTTCGACTGGAGAAGGTTTTGTATTTATAGTGTATTTTTGGATTAATTTCCTTAACAAACTTTTATTTTTTTTGTTAATAAAGTGCTGCCTAATATCCTCCTGTAATCCCAGTTGGCTTAAGGATTGAATTCCTAGGGTTGGATGTTTTATAAATTCTAATTAAAGTCATGGCCTTCCTCGGGAATGACATCGGGGAAATTTTTTGGTAATATTGAACTGGACAGACCCCCTTTTTTCCTCCACAATTTTTTTCCTATATTTTTCCTCCTTCTACTTGTTTTTGGCATTAACTTGCACTTGTATAAAATTAAATAATCCTTTTTGTTTGATTGCAGGCAAAAATTATAGAGGCAATTTTGATGGAATGAAAAAGTCTGACCATTTTTCAAAAATATAGAGAAAAAATTGGGGAGGAGAAAGGGGTCTGTCCGGTTCAATATTACCAATTTTTCAATTTTTACCTTTAATTTTCCAAATATAAAAGGAATTTCTTTGTAACTATTTTACCCAAAAATTCCCTCCAAATTTTTAAACATTTTTTAAATTTCAAAGCTCAATTTTAACAGAATATTATTAATTTTATTAAATTTAAGGAAAATCAAAAACATTGGATGCACGTACAACAATTTTTAAGAAGACAGATGATATGGTTTATAATTTAAAATTAAAGGCATCGCGATCATTTTTCCATGAAGCACAGCAAAAGTTTGGTTCAATGCCTTTTTCAATAAGAGATTTTGAAGATGAAAAAGTGGCAAAAGTTGGAAGTACTGAATGTGCTAAACATGATTTGATGCAGCCATATCCGGTTTCTTTCTATTTTTAAATTAATTATTAATTTATCTTGCTCTCTGAAAACGGACCGACATTTCCTTTATTTGTACTAGACATTTTCATGTAGTAAATGTTTCTGCTCCAAAAAATATGGATTTCCTTCCATATCTTTGCGGGATTTTATTCTAAGAATCCTCCATACATATTTATAGCTTTATTAGTTTTTTTAAAAGTGTCATTTATGTCTCCTTTTCAACTTTCATTTATAATGTTTCTGGTTTCGTGACGCAGGCAATTGAGTTTAGGATCATCTATTGACTTTTTGGTGCTCTTTTTGTTGTTTTAACAACAGACGTTTGACATATTTTTTACAAAAAAGGTGCGGGATAATCCATCGGATGATCCCAGACCTAGCTGCCGTAAGTCCTGAACCCAAATAATATCATAGAATCCAAGACTAACTACTAAATCCAAAAATAAATGAAAGTGAAAAAAGGAGATCCGTACGACACTTACCTAATTTTTCTAAAATTCACTTTATTTTCATTTAAATTTAATATTTAATCAAAAATTATTTTATCATTTTCTAGGTTCTTTATGAGAAAGAAGGTGATTATGTTGCTCAATTTAAATGTACAGCAATAATAATGCCTAATGGAATATATAAAATAACTGGGATTCCTTTGGATAATGCAATTATAAAATGTGATGTTAAAATTGACAATAATGAATTTTTGGGACTTTTAAATGAACCTTTAAAACCAAAAAAGAAGAAAGGAGGGGGAGGAGAAAAGGAGAAGGAAATTAATAATAAAGAAGCTGAAAATAATTTGGTAAAGGAAAAGAAAAAGGAGGAAGAGGTTGAAAAAGTTGAAACGAAAAAGGAAGAAAAAAAAGAAGACAAGAAGGAAAATAAAGGAGAAAAATTGGAAGTTAAGAAGGAAATGCCAAAAAAGAAAAATGTTGAAAATAAACAAAAGAAGAAGGAAGGTTAATTGAGGGAAGAAGAAGGGGAGAAGAGAAGGATGGAAGAGAAGAGTTTAAATTTTAGAAAATATTTTTTGATGAGGTGAGGATTTTAAAGTATAGTAAGTGTGTGTTTTTTGGATAATGTTATATTTTAATTATTCGGGCGTAAAAAGAGTTGTTAATTAATTAAATGAGAAACCCTGAGGAGAGCAACAAAAAATGAATTTGATTTTTTTCAATTTTAAATTAATTTTTTTGGGTTGTTTCTCATTTAATTATTTATATAACCTCTTAAATTTCTGCCTTTCTTTGGCTTTTATTATTTTTTTCAAGTCAAAATCAGTGCTGGGTATGGTCTTGGGAACTAGCCTAAGAGATATGGCTCTAGCTCTAGTTCGAGAAATTTTAAAATGCCAGGAGTCGGAGCCTCAAAACGCCTAAATACCCAGCACTGTTCAAAATTATATATTCGCACAATCATCTTCTGTTTTTAATAATATGATTGTAGTAATGTGTGTGTTTTTTTCTCCTTTTGCCTCATAAATAAAAATTGTTTTTGATAAAATAAATTGTTATATTTTAAATAAAAGGAGAAAATTTAAAACAAAATTTTAATTTAAAATTAATAAAGAAATCATTTTGTTGAAAAATTATATGCACCTATATTTAGGTTTTGCTTCGAGGGTCAAAGGATTTCTGTTCTAGTTAGAATTTTTTCAAAAATTATTTTAAATAATTTACTGAGGTTTCGAGTACATCCCCGATCTTTTATCCAATTAAATGGTTTTTTTTCTTTTATCAATTAATATCCAATTTATCCAATCAAATCCAATTAAAATTACGATTTGATAAGTTCAGTATATCTCGTCAAACAATTTTTCCAAGATAGCTCGCTTGTGTTGGATTTAGTTACCTATACTAGAGACCGAACTGAGAGAGTCTTGAGAGAATTAAGATTGATATTCCGAAAAATCTCGATTCTCGAAAATATCTTTCTCGATAACCGAGATTTATATAATAGGAGATTATGTCTCGGTCCGATCTACTTTCATGGCCTTACGGTAAACTGGCTTACTCCCAAAAATTATTTTTTAAATTTTTTCTTGATTTTAATTAAACAAATGTTCTTTTAAAAAATATTTTTTTTCCTCAGCTGGAATTTAAAATTTAAATCAAAAACATTTTTTAATAGAAAGCATGAACATTTGTTAAGTTTTTTTAAAAAAAAGTACAATTTTTATAACTCAAAGGACAGAAAAAGAAATTTTTTGATCTCATTCACCCCTTAACACACACATTTTTAAGGGAAAAGTAAAAATATTGATTTTCCCAAAAATCAACCCAAAAATATTTTTTTAAAGAAAAAAAGTTTCAAATTTCAAAAATAAATTTTGTTTGTTTCTATTTTTGTGAATGCGTAAACAAACAAGTAATAAATTCTCTCCATCAATATTCTCAATTGGTAAAGTAATGTCTGATTATAATTTAAATCGGTCTCGTTCTGCTGCTATTCTTGATTCGAAATCTCTTTTTGCATACCCGGTTGGTTTAAAATATTTTTTTAATTAAAAGAAAATAGGAAAAGCACTGGTTTTTCAAGTCGAAGATAGGGTGAGGCCGTGATAATTCGAAAGACTTGTGAAGAGCAATCATGTCTCTAACCACAAAAAACATCCCCAAAAAGCTATAATAAGCCGCCTATTATCTAAACTTAACATTTTAGGATTATCCAATTATCCTTGGTAAATGCATGTTTTGACTTAGACAACATTTTTAGGGGTTTCTTGCAGTGCTAGGCTCTGGAGCCTGGCTCCGGAGCGGCTACAGGAGCTAGCTCTGGAGCCCGGCTCCGGAGCGGGAGCCAAGGTTTTAAAGGCTCAGAGCCTGAGCCAACAAATGCCCAATACCCAGCACTGGTTTCGGGTTTGAAAAATAGAATTGAGATTTGTTCAAAAGTCATGCCTATTACAATCATAAAAAATGTTATAAAGCTGAATTCCGCAAATAATATTCTGGGATACCCGCTTGATCATAAAATAGATTTAATTTACTAGTAACAACTAAAAAATAAATTGGATAAACGTTAAATAAAAATATGATAGATAATTTAAAGGGTAAACAGCAATATGGGAACTTTTCAATTTTACTATGGAGATTTAATTAAAAGAAATTTTTTTAACTTTAATTTAAATAATTTTTGTTTAATTTAAAATTTAATTATTTAAAAAAGATATCAAAAACTTATTCTGTTCCCAATATTTCTGATTATTCAATTAATTATACTTTATATCACGGACTCAAAACTTATGACATTGTTCGACCTACAGCATATACAACATATCGTTCTTATTTTCCTTACAAGAATTATGAGCCTAATTATTTGGTAACAAAATAATTTTAAATTAAGAGCCAAACCGCTCTTTTGGAAACCCATAATATTAGATACACCTCAATTTAAGATAAGTTTCCTAAAATTGGATGACCAAAAGATGTTGAGGATGGGGGAACTTCTAAGAGATACCTCTACTTAAAATCCCTTCATTATAAAAGATAGCCTCAGGATTCCCTCATTATAAGACCTAGGGGTGTATTTAGAGGTTTGAATGTGGAAGCCCCCAATATTAGAAATACACCCTAATTCAAGATAAGTTTCCTAAAATTAATTGGCCACTAGAGATTGGGGGCGAGACGACTTCTAAGGGATACACTCTAGTCAAAATTCCCTCATTATAAGCCCCAAGGGGTATATCTCGAGGTTTATCTGTATTATTTCAATATTTTTAGAACAACCTTTATTGGAATGACAAGCCAACATATTATTCTAATTCATATAATCGAGTATTACAACCTAGACATTATACCGACCACATGAAAAGTCCTTATTTTCTAAATCATTCATGTACATATTATCCATTTAAATATAATTACAACGATTTTTGGTTGGTTTTTTTTTAATTAAAAAATATTTTTGGTGGGAATTTTTTTTATTGGTTTAGTGTGGGAATTAAATGTGGGTTTTACACTAATAAATAAGTTTGAATTGTAGATTAGGTAGTTGCACTAATTTATTTGCCAGCTGAACACATTCTTGAGTTATAAAAAATTGAGGGACACAGTAAACTGTCTTAATTTTGACGCTCGACCCAGATCACGTCTGATCTATTGTTTGGGCAGGTATACAAGATTAATAGATATGGGCAAGGCAATCCTTGACAACCGACTAAAGCTTGTACCTAAAATCACATATTGCCGTTAAAATTGTGTATGAATGTGAGAACAAATGGGAACCCTTTAGGTGCTAAAAACTGGAGAACTCGTACAACATTCCTAGTCCGGCTACCAATCTCCACAACGCTCCCAGTCCCTGATCAGTCACCAAATAAATTTTAAAAGCCGTATATAAAATGAGGCAATTTTTAAAATGAGGAAAGATTTAAAACGAGATTTGCCTATGTCAAAATAATTTTTAAATTTAATTCCCTAAAAAACCTTTTTAAAGGTATGGCTACAAAACACCTTCATATTACCGAAATTATTATTATGTATCGCCATATTATGATTATTATTCGAACAATGCATATAATTATCGTTACAATTATCGTTAAAAATAAGAGAAGGAAAAAAGGAAAAATTATTTTTAGGAAAATTCATGTAAAATATTTTTTACTCTAAAAAATTGGAAAAATGTCTGTCAAGAATGAAAATAAAATAAATTTTTAATTTTTGTTTAATTGGGATGTCTTTAACTAAGAAAAGAAGGGGAAACAAATATATTACCGTAAATGTTCCAATAGAAGCCCATGCCCTATTAGAAGCCCACCCAATGGGACCCATTGAAAAATAGACGCCCAGGGCTTCTATTGGAACATTTACGATATTTATTATTATCCGGCCGATCATTCTTCAGAGTGATTAAACGGGCAACAACTACTTTCCCTTAATCTGGCAATAAACACAAGACTAATTAATCTATTAATTGATCAAATCCTTCGCTTATTTCCTGGATTATATGGTCTAGGAGGGGTGGCGCTTGTCCCACAAAATACGAGAACGAGATAAAAAGCGATACGAAATCTTTAAAAAAATACGAGATTTCAATTTAGTCGGTAAGACTGAATTTGGATTAATATGATCCATCCTCAACATGGTGAAAGTCGATTTAAGAACCTTTTCTTTGAATGAATCCATATCGAGATTCGACTTCATATTTGTTATTGAGGAACAAAACATGGATAAACTTGTCATTTTTGTTGATCAAGTCGTTGATAATAAAGGCGAAACTCTTATAAATGTCGGAAATAATACTCAATGTTTATATTTTTTTGGGAAAACAAAGCTATTCAAGGAAATGTTAAAAATATTTAAAAAATTGGAAAGGAATTGAATGCTCTTGTTGAGGAGGAAAATATTTAAATGAAAATGTAGTGATTTAAAATCTGAAGGAGAATCAACAATTGGTTTAAAATTTAAAAATTTAAATACAACAATTAATGTTTCTGGAGAAGATTTAGCAGACTTTGGTGTAGATTAAAAGTTTATTTTCCGCCCTTTTTGAACTTTTCTAACTTTACATCCCTATGAATTTAACTTTTAAATTCCATATTTTATTTCTAAAATGCATGATCTTCGATTTCGCATAAATTCTTCGACTTTCACATAAATTTTTCGAAACTATTTGTGGTTGTGCTGAAGGCACAAAAATATTCGATTACATCTAGTTTTGATCATATTTCCTATAGATTCTTCAAAATTTAAGGTGCTCGTGTCAAATTAACAAAAAATACACCAAAAATTTGGCCTATGGCACCAAAAAATTGTCTCGAGTCTTGTAATCGTCTTAGTCTTGGAAAATTTTCGGTTTCGGACGTCTCTAGGATTTATTACTAAACTTGGTAGTAAACTAAATAAAGAATTGTGATTTATAATTTGTAATTAAAAGAGATGAGTAATTTTTATAAAAAGGGAGTTAACCTGATAACGACAGATTTTTTACCTAAATTTTGCTGCTTTTTTAAATAAACATGAAACCATTTTTCAAGTTCCGGTATAAAATTTATTATTTTAAAAGGGGCTACTACGGGAGCAGGCCACTTTGACGCAGCCCACTTTGACGCAGCCCACTTTGCCGCGCCCACTTTGACGCAGCCCACTTTGACGCACGCCCACGTTGACGCGCTCCCACTTTGACGCAGCCCACTTTGACGCACGCCCACTTTGACGCAGCTTATTAAGTTCAGCCGCCGGACAGGTTCGAACGGGAGCAGGTAGTATACCTACGCAAATAACTTAATAATGTTAGCGGGTATTCTTTCAAACAGAGGTGGGTCGTAACAGTCAGAGGTGTCGGAAATCGGAACTGCCGGAAATCGGAAATGGCTCAAAAGTCGGAACTCGGAAATCGGAAATAAAATTTTTATTTTCATAACTGAAATAATATTTAAAATTGTAAGGTGGCAAATTTTGGCCTTCTTGAGTGTATGTAGTTTGAGTGAGTAAATGTTCTTTTTGCAACTCAAGAGTCAAATTCGAAGGGATTAAAAGAGATATTGTGAGCAGGGTGGTCCTTTACAAATCACCAAAAAGGGGCATGGCCCCTCAGAAAAGGGGCGAAATCGGTCAAAAATGTGGCAAAAAAAGGGGCGTTATGATTAAGAGTTTGTGCCTTACTTCTTTTTTTCAGTTGTCCTTTTTTATTTTTTTACCTGCCCCTGTATTTTTATTGTATTCAATCAATGGGAGCGCGTCAAAGTGGGCTGCGTCAAAGTGGGCGTGCGTCAAAGTGGGCTGCGTCAAAGTGGGCGTGCGTCAAAGTGGGCTGCGGCAAAGTGGGCGCGGCAAAGTGGGCTGCGTCAAAGTGGGCTGCGTCAAAGTGGGGTGTACCCGGCTACTACACCCTAAAAATTATCATTTTAAAAATTAACAACAGCAAAAAATGTCCATTAAAAATAATTTAGCCTTTCCTCTAATTTTATTTTTCTCCATTTATTTATTTTTCTTTTTAAATTGGAATTTTGTTGAATCAAAAAATTTGGAAAGCCGAAAACTTGATATTTTAAAAATGAAAAAAATTTTAAGCAAAGGAGGAAAAAAATTTAATTTTAATAAAACAGAGAAGAGAATTTTGAGAAAAAATAATGAAAAGGAGGGATTCTTTGTTGATTTTGCTTTGGCTATCTATAAATATTCTATTAATCATAAGGACTATGATTTACATGAGGACTATGATTTATTTTATACTTTTGATTTTTGTTATGATGAAGAAAAATATTTCAAAAATTATTGCAATTTGGATTTGATGAGTAAACCAATTAATGCAACATTTGATGTAAGTTAACCTCCTTTATTTTTCGCTATTTCTCTCCTTCAGCTAGTGCAAAGGTTAATCGGCGGCTGGGAGCGGACCAGCATCTTCAGTAGACCGGACTGATGTGTCCTACTTCACAGTCTAGGGAATTAAATAGCTATATGCTTTACATCATAAAATATACTCAATAAGGGGGTTAAACAGGGCTGCACGCATTTGCGGATTGCGTAGTTTTTTGGACTGCGGATTGCGGCTGCGGAAAATTTTTTTTCAGCAGACCTGGGGATAACTCTATTTACGACACTCTTCTTAAATTTGGTTAGCCTATAGGTTGGGGAACAGCTACTGAGGCGTTCTTCACTTTCTCATTTAATAAATAATCCTAAACTTTCGCCTAGATTAAATTTGCCGATTTATTTCGCCTAATTAAATCGGGAAAATTAAATTTGGACTGCAATTAATAAGATAATACAATAAACTTTTTCTTCCGCGTAGATAGTGTCATATAAATAATCGAGATTTAAATGCTTATAATTAAGGAGCTAAACTTTAATAAAATTGTTATTTTTGTTGATCAAGTCGTTGATAGTAAAGGAGAAACAATTATAAATGTTGGAAACAATACGGAATTCATGCTTAATCATTTGTATGAAGATACAGTTATAAATGGAAATGCTAAAAATATTGAAAAAATTGCAAAAGCCTTAAATGCTCAAATTAATGATGATGAAAATATTTATTATTTAAATGAAAAATGTAGTGATATTAAATCTGAAGGGGAATCGACAATTGGTTTAAAATTTAAAAATTCCAATACAACAATTAATGTTTCTGGAAACAATATAGCAAACTGTGGTGTAAGTACTTAAATACATATCTCTTATAATAAAGCACAATATCCTCGGGCTCTCTTAAAGAAAAGACGGTATTCATCAGTAGGGATGGGATTTATATGGACTATCAATCGAAAAATATGGACATATAATATGTACATACTAAAAATCTCAAAATATGGACTGAAATATGGACTAAAATCCAAAATATGGATCAAATATGGATTGATAACTCGTTATCAGTCTTATCATATGCTAAAACAACGTTTTTCGTGCGTTTCACACCCCAACTAGGCCAGAAAAAACATGGAAATCCATATAAATCCCATCCCTATTCATCAGATACAGTATTTCATACCCCAATCATACTCGAACTAAGATATACCTACTTAAAAATTAACAAAAAATTTTTTGAAAAATTATTTTGGATTTTTTCAAGTATGAAGATAAATGTGCACTTGGACTGAAAATTGATGAAAAATATCAATTAAAATTTTCATCACAAATTTTCACTAATTATTGTGTTTTATTTGATACTTTATTGAATCAAATAGCTTTTGCACCGAAGGTTGTAGAGTCGGAAGATATGGAGTGGATTTTCTGCAATTAAAGGAAGGAAAATTTTAATGACATTAAAGTTTAGAAATTTGAATATAAATTCTTAATTAATTTATTTTCAAAAGTATAAAGTAAAATTAAATTTAAACTGAAATCAAGAGACGTATTCAATAGACATTTATTGAATAATTACCTGGGGTAATTATCTTCTCAATTTTTTTTTCAAATTCTTGCCAAAGAGGGTAAATGATGGGTACACCCCAAAATACCGCCGATAATCTTTTCAAAAGGGAATGATGATGTTCCAATGGGGGAATGTTGTTCAAGCAATTTGTTCATCGACAGGGGAAGTTGTTCCAAGGGCGGGGAATGTTGGTCAGGGGAAGTTGTTGCGACAACTGAGAACAAAAGTACCTTGGCCTGCGGTACCTTGGGCTGTTCCAGTAATTGATCGAGGAGGGGGGGGAGATACTTTTCGAAGGAGAGCAATTAATTGAAAAAATAATCGAGAAAAGGCACTTGATTTGAGCATTGCTTCAATGGGAAAGTTGAATTTTATTTCCCAATCCAATTTACGCTTTGCACTACTGAAACTTTAAATTTTAACAATTAAAAAAATATTTATTTTTCAATTTATTTTCGTGGATATAAATTTTTAAGAGTATCGTTTTGTGCTCGTCTCGAAGTTTCATCTTGAAGAATTTGTTTAAGAACGGCCAATTCTCTTTCAGCCTAAAAAATATTTTTAATTGAAAAATTATTATTTTTCTCGCCTTTTCACGTGCAGCACCCTCTTGAGCTATTTTTTGTCTAAGAAAAACTAATTCTTGTTTTGCTTCGTTTGCCTCTTTTTCTGCATATTGGAGTTTTTGTTGAGGCTATATTCAAATAAAAAAATTTTTGAATTTTAAATTAGTCGAATCTCACTATAGGATACCCCCAATACTATAATTTTTTTAGACTTTGGTTGGCCGTTGGGTAAGGGAAAAGCTACATAAATGATGCTCCAATATACACAAAATACTAGGCATATGGTGGAAGCATGGTTAATTCTTACGCCTTTTTAAGTTGGTTCTTGTACCTACCAGGGATGGATTCGGTTATATGTAGTGTCGTTTCCTGGCCCCCTTTTTCCTCCCCAGTTCGTTCCTGTTTTTTAGATAATAGCCAGACTTTCTCCTTTCTTCCATCACAATTGCCTTTCTATAGTTTGCCTACAAACAATCAAAAAGGAATTAAATTTCATTAAAATCACACACAAGTTTTTTTCCTTTCTATAGGAAAAAACCTGTAGAGGAAAAGGGGCCCAGAAACGACAGTACATATTACCATGGATTCCCTTCCGTCTTCGCCTTCGGACTTTAAAAATGCGGAAGAGCCATTGCGAACACCCTTACCTCGCATTAAAGGACCAAGTTTTTAACCCCCAATGAGTATCTACAAGTGATGTTTGTCAGTATTCCTTACCAATTTTTGTTTTTCCCTTTCTTCAATCAACAATCTTTGCAGTCTCTCAACTTCATTTTGTGCTTTGTCTGCTTCAGCCCTAGTTTGAAGCAATTTATTTTTTACAACCTCCAAAACAGAATCATTTGAACCGTGGGACATTTTTTAATATTTTAGAGGAAAAATATAAAATAAAATGTTTAATTAATTCGAAATTGAATGAAAATATTTGTAGTATATTCTTACTTAAATGAGTGGGTGTAAAGAAAAAACAGCTGTTTAATAAAATAAATTCTCTAAGTAAACGATTTTTTAATGTGTGTGTTTGACATGAAGATTTTAATTTTTAAATTAAATGTCAAAATTATTGAGTATATTTTTTCTTAAAAATTAAAGAAGATTAAAATTTTTATAGTGAAAGATTTGAGAGTTCGGTTCACTTCGATTTTTTCGGTTTAATTATTTCTATCGCCTAAACATTTAAAAGACTCCTATAAAAATATCGCTTTATTAAATATTGTCATGAGGCAAAATTGGTCAAAACATCGCTTTTTAAAAAGTGATTTAAGGTATTCCTTTAAGGAAATCTATTATTCTAAAGACTTTTTGAAAATTTTAGACGGTGTCCGGAAAATAGGGCTCTGGAAAATTGTGCTCCAAGATTTTTCGGAAAATTGGACTACAGCGGATTTTTGTCTTCTAATGATTTTCAGACTTGTTTATTTAAAAAAAGTTATTTTTGAATTAATAATATTTTAAATTAACCCTATTTAATTTAATCTGATAGTTTCGAGCAGGAATAATTGGAAAGAAAATGGGTGATTAGGATGAGAGCGGGTAAGCAACACTTAATTAGTATGGCACGCAAAAATAATTCCTTTATAAGAATTGTTTTTACGATAAGTAACTATTTCTTTTTGGTAAGAAATTGACGCATACATTATAAAAATTATGAATACCCATATGAAATACCAAGTTTGAATGGCCCCAAAATATCCAAGCATTCTAAGCACCCAATCTTATTTTAAAAAACCTATAGGTACCCCATTTAATCTGTTTGAAAGTATAAGAAACTAGATAAAGCACTTAATAAAATATTATTAACACAACATTAAAAAATGTTACATATTTACAAACTACGTTTAATAAACCTCATTCATCCACTTGCAATATCACTTCTTAAACATAAATGGCTTCTCTCCAAAGTTTGCTTCGAAGGTTGCTTGTGGACCAGCCAACGAAATTGATGGCACTAAGGCACCCTCATTTTCGTACTCCAAACTAGAACCTAAAAAATTTCTGTTTCGATAATTTTAAAGTTAAAAATGTAACCGATTTTAACGCCATTGTACGTAAAATAAACCATCCAAGTTTTTTTCATACAATTAATAGCGTTGTCACGACACTTCACTCCAACGCCAATTGTTTTCTTATCGAATTTAGCCCAAACAAAGTTTTCCGTTTTTTCCCGTTCATACTTATAAATTCCCATTACTAGTAATGCTTACACTATTTTTAAATTAAAATAACAAAATATCAAAGTAATTAATAATTAATTATCCGCTAGTTAATCCGCTCAACTCCGAAAATGATTACTTTGATATTTTGTTATTTTAATTTAAAAATAGTGTAAGCATTACTAGTAATGGGAATTTATAAGTATGAACGGGAAAAAAACGGAAAACTTTGTTTGGGCTAAATTCGATAAGAAAACAATTGGCGTTGGAGTGAAGTGTCGTGACAACGCTATTAATTGTATGAAAAAAACTTGGATGGTTTATTTTACGTACAATGGCGTTAAAATCGGTTACATTTTTAACTTTAAAATTATCGAAACAGAAATTTTTTAGGTTCTAGTTTGGAGTACGAAAATGAGGGTGCCTTAGTGCCATCAATTTCGTTGGCTGGTCCACAAGCAACCTTCGAAGCAAAGAGAAGCCATTTATGTTTAAGAAGTGATATAAGTGATATTGCAAGTGGATGAATGAAGTTTATTAAACGTAGTTCGTAATTAGCATTATTTTTATAATGTTATGTTAATAATATTTTATTAAGTGCTTTATCTAGTTTCTTATACTTTCAAATAGATTAAATGGGGTACCTATAGGTTTTTTAAAATAAGATTGAGGTTTTTAAAATAAGATTTTGGGGCCATTCAAATTTGGTATTTCATAAGGGTATTCATAATTTTTATAATGTATGCGTCAATTTCTTATCAAAAAGATAGTTCGTTACCGTAAAAACAATTCTTATAAAGGAATTATTTTTGCGTGCCATACTAATTAAGTGTTGCTTTACCCGTTCTCACCCTCCTCACCCATTTTCTTTCCATTTCATCCTGCTCCAAGCTATCAAATGAATTTTAATAGCGAGATAGAACAAAAAGTTGGTAATTATTTTTACAATCTCTTCGCTTTCCTTCTAGGTACTATATTCCATCCATTTCTTAGTCTTTTTGTTCCTGTTGCTCTTTATGGATAGCCAATCGCTTGACCCAATGGCATTCCAAGTCTAAAAATTTAAAAATATTTCAAAAAATGTTTGACTAGAAACCATATGGAAGGTTGTCAACAACATAATGTTTCCCTCCAACAAGCGGTTTACCACACCAAGCACACTGGAAACCTTTAGAAAAAAAATATTTTTTTAGGAAATTTAGAATTTTCTCAATTTTTACATTGAGCATGCCAGTATTTATTCACAGCAAAAAACATAGCGCCAAACATCCTTTGACCGCACTGAGTATTCGCACATTTTGGACGAGTTATTGCAATGAAGCATTTGATGCAATAGGGAAGGTCACTGTGGATCTAAATAAAAATAAATTTTTGGGGGTTTTGAAGAGATTAAACGGTCGGATTCTCATTGTAAGGTAGACTCGAAAACTTGAAACTTATGAGAGGTGTCTCTTAAACTGAGGTGTCTCTTAAATTGAGATGTCTCTTAAATTGGGTTGTCGCTTAAATTGAGTGTCTCTTACATAGAGGGCATATCGTTTAGGCATTCCGCCGCCCACTGGCCAACCTAAAAACGTGTCTTATCTCGAGGTGTCTTTAGTTTTGGGTTATCCTATAATGAGGTATCTGACTGTTTCTTTCCTTTTCTTGCCTGATAGTCCTCTTGAAGCATCACATCACATCGATCATTGCTGCAACGAAAATGTTGTTTGTGCCAAATCTTTCCTTGTGCGATAACAATTTCTTGGTCCACAATCACTTCCCCACATTGCTCACAAGTTTCGCGATCGTCTCTGCGAACTTCGTCTGTTTCAACAACTACTTGGTCAAGTTCAATTTCGGACATTTATGTTGTTGAGAAAAGAGTTGCTGTGATGAGAAAATGATGAATTGTTGACAAGTTGCTTAGTATAAAATTCAAAAAATACAATTTACTTTCTTGACTTCTCTGCAACACACTATTTTTCTTTAATAGGACATTCTGTCATTTTTAATAAAAATAAACACAACGCCAAACAATGCGACAAAAGTCTCGCAAAAATTCAAAGCTGCGGACAAACAGAACCCGGAGGCCTCAATTCGAAAACTATGGAGAGTTAGAAGGATATCGGTTGATATTTTTTGTTTTCCCCCCAAGCTTTCTGGCGCACCTCTAGTTTTTTTATCTGATTTACAAACTTTTAAGGGAATTATAAACTATAATAACTTAAGAATATCTCCTAAAAACTTAAGTATAACAAGATATCTTCACTATTATTATATTATGCAGCTGACAGTAAATTATCGAAAATTTTTGCAAATAAATTTATTAATTCGGACTAGGCTGAGGGTAGAAAAACTAATGAACTTAAAAATGCCACAGGACATTATTTCATTAAAAACAAAATTAATTAATTGTCACATAAGAAGGATTGAAGTAAAATTAGATTTGAGGTCCGATTTTATTTTGATGTTTTTGACTTTCAATATTTTTTGATTCAATAAAATTCCAATTTAAGCAAAAAAATAAAATATAAGAAAAGAATTTATTTTTACTTAACCTTTTATTTTAAATAAATAATTTTTAGTTTGAATGAAATAAATAAATATAGTAAATTTATGACAAAAATTTAAAAGAAAATTTATTTATTTAAACATTTTGAGAAAGAATTGTTATCTAAACCAAATATTTTATTTAAAAGTTAACAACTATTTTTTTTAATATTTTAATTAAATAAATTGGAATAATATACCGTATTACCTCTAATTGAATGTCCGGGTATTCTATATTCAAATCAACTCCAGAGAGGCATTCTATTAAAGAGGCTGAAGTTAACTACTCTAATAGACAGGATGTTTTTTTACATTATTTTGGAGACATTTGCTCCTTTTCGACCTTCTCGCCTCTTTTCCCTTTTTCCGAAAAAAGAAGAAATCTGGCTTTTTGGTCTTCCAAATTTTCAAGATTTTCCCTGTGAAAATCCTGAAAAAATTTCTAGTTAAATTTCTTCAATGTATACCTTTAACAATTTCCTAGTGAGAAATATGCAGAGTAAACTAGGCATATAAACTGCTATTTTTATTTATGTTTAAGCCCCTTTAGGTGATTTGGGAAAGGACACTTTGCTAATAAAGGAAATACGGTATATTTTACAAAACTAAGGTTGTCGGTTTTACTTTGGTTAACCGAAACCGAACCGATCTCTTTAGTTAAAAGGGGCATTAGTTAGCCATTTTATTATTGGAAATATGGTATTTATTAAAAAGATTTGTAACATTTTTTTCTTGCTGACATGAAGTGTCTGATCTTCTTAATTTTCTTCAATTAATTTTTCGGCTATTAAATTATCATTCATTACATAATATTTGTAATTAAACATAAAACGTTTTTGCTTTTCTCTAATCACTTGAGTAAATTTATTTTTCCCCATTTCTCTTAAGTACAAAGTTTTTATCAAATTATTTTTTCACATTTTTTCAATTATATTCCCTTCATTATCCATTTCAAAAAAATAATTTCCATCGTGAATTAAAGGTTTTAATGTTGAATATAAACAAAATGGTCCATCAAATTTTATTAGATTTTCTGAATTCATTTCTCCCGCAAAAACAAGCTCTCCATCATTAAAATCTTCTTTAGTTTGTGAAACAACAATTATTATTCCTCCTTTAAACAGATTTAAAATTTTAATTTCTTCTGTTAATATATTTTCAAATATTTTTGAAACACATTTTTCTTCTTTATTTTTTTCTACTTTTACAAAAAATATAAAATATTTAAAAGTTAGATTTAACGTCATTAATTTAATTAAATAATTCCCTTCTTCAACAAATTTTACACAAATTTCCATCAAATTTTCCTTTTTTGTAAACATATCTATTTTGATTAATTTTGCTCGTTCAATATATCTGTTTTCATTTTCTTTTTTTGGTTCAAAATATAATGGATAACGAAATAAAGGTTCAATTGTTAACAATTTCTAAAGAAATTTATTTAATAAAATTGGTGTTATGATAATTTTAGACGACAATTGCAGATATAAAATTTAAAAAAAATTATTGAAGTTATGACTTTTTTTGTAGTGCTTGCTAAGTGTTTCCGAATGATTTCTGAATTTATGCAGCGCTGATAACTTCAATAGAATTTTTAGGTACTTTATTTATCCTGCCCCCCATCCCTATTTGAGTCTCAGTTTAATTTTTCTTTTTTTCTGACAATCATTCTTTCCCTCGCAAATTTTAAGTAGATGGCAACAGTGATGTCAAAGTTCCAGTTCCGATTCCGGAACTAATTAGTTCTAGTTCCAGAACTAGAACTACGGAACTAGTAAATGTCTGGAACTAGCTTTGGAACTAGTTCTGGAACTGGACTAAGGAATTTCGAAAATGGAGTTCCGGAACTGGAACTGGAACTACAAAAATTAAAAACCTAGTTCTGGAACTGGAACTAGTTCCAGAGAAATTTTGGAACTTTGACATCACTGGATGGCAAGTTAGTAGGAGAAAAATTAGAAGGAGGCCTTCTAATTTGTCATTTACTTAAAATTTTGGCGGGAAAGAATGATTGACAGTAAAATAAAAAAATTAATCTGAGACCCAAATAGTAGTGATGTTTGAGAGTCAAAAAGCCGAGAGTCAGACCGAAAGATTACGAGGGATATCACTTGATGTCCCTCTTAATCCCCCTTAAAATCATATCAATTAACAAACTTTGCTTTCCTCTCCATTTCCTTCTTCTTTCTCTAATAAACAAATTAAAATCCCCCTTCTATAATTTATATTAAAAGTTTCAATAAATTGAAATTTAATTATTTCACCCCCAACATTTTTATAATCTTCAAAAGAATGAATTTTTGTATTTTCTTTTTTATAGCAATACTCATTTATGGAGTTCAAATAAAGTTTTTCTCCTTTTTTTGTTATAATTGAATTAAATTCAACAGAAATTTCTATCAATTTTTTATTTTCGTTAATATAAATATTTTTTAAATTAATATATTTACTGATTCGGCTAATAATAAAATTTTGATCATTCAATTGTTGAATATTTCCAAAAGAAAAATTTAAAAATAAAATTAATAAAAGAATAAAATGGAAATATATTAACATTTTTGGTGAATATTTATTAAAATTAATTAAAAAATTAAAATTTATTTAAATGAAAAAAATTGTGAAAATATTCTCTTTTTAAATGTAGATAACAAACAAAATTTTAAAAATAAAATGCCCTCTATATTTTTTAATTCACGTGAATATTGCATCATTATTTTTAAGAAATTTATTAAATGACTTTTTATCAATTAAAAATGAATTCTTTTTACGAAATAATTTAATTAATAAATTTAAAAAAAAATTAAAAAATTAAAAAACAGTCAACTGATAAAGTGCTTTATTTCTTAAAATTAATTTTTAAATTTTCACGTAAATAATAAACAATAAATTAAATAAGATATGTACAAATAAATTCCCGGTCGAAAAATCAAATTTGTAAAATTTGTTTCTGATAGAGGAAATAGAGGAATGTATAATTAGAAAAGATTGTTAACATTTCTTCATTCGTGTCTTGTGGATGTCTGATTTTGTAGTCTATTAAATGAATTTCAAGTGAATTTCCGCCAATAAATTTCAAAATCTTCTAAAAAGCGTTAATAATTGTCTTACAAATTTTGATTTTCCGACCCGGAAAGAGCAGTATTTCTTAACAAATATTTATTTTTGAAATATTCACATGAATAAAATAAATATAAGGGCATTTATTTATTAGTCATTTTGTTTATTATTAACGTGAATATTTTAAAAATTAATTTTTAAGAAATTAAGCACTTTATCAGTTGACTTTTTCTTTTTCTTTAATTTTTTATAAATTTATTAATTAAATTATTTTGTGAAGAGAATTCATTTTTAATTAATAAAAAGTTAATTAATAAAGTGCATTATTTCTTAAAAAATAATGATGCAATATTCACGTGAATTAAAAAATATAAGGCATTTATTTATACAAGGGCATTTATTTATTTTTAAAATTTTGTTTGTTATCTACATTTAAAAAGAGAATATTTTCACAATTTTTTTATTTAAATAAATTTTATTAAAATTTTAATAAATATTCACCAAAAATGTTGATATATTTCCATTTTATTCTTTTATTAATTTTATTTTTAAATTTTTCTTTTGGAAATATTCAACAAAAGAATGATCGAAATTTTAATATTAGACGATATAGTAGTGAATATATTAATTTAAAAAATATTTATATTAACGAAAATAAAAAATTGATAGAAATTTTTGTT